CGGAAGGGGGAGAGGGTTTGAGGCCGGTCCACGAGGCTGAAGCCGCCATTTTCAGAATCTGTTGGGGAACACTGTATGAGCTAAAATTCGCCGCTCTGTAAGGAGTGTGCTCTGTGGGATCACTTTTAAGATCGTCTAAATAGTGGTAGTATTGGAAAGCAACTTTTTAATTGCGTAGAAAAAGTGACTTTGTGTTTTGGTTTCGTCTCACTTTATAATCGTCAGATCAACTATTTTTACGATTATATGATAGTTATAAACACCGACATAATAGTTCCGTAATGAGACTATAACATTTCATTTTTTAAATATATGAAATTTAATGTACACTTCAGTTAATGAATTGCAATTTGCAGGTACTATTTTTTTCCCAACAAAATTAAAAAATCTCCCTAGACTACAATTTGTGAAACTTCAATAAACATGTGATAGATTTTCTTAAACACAATTTTAATTATTGTATAAGACCGCTAAACAGCTAGACGGATCGACCATCTTATTCTTTGAACAATAATTTATATATTTACACTAAAAAGATTTATTATTATTTATGTTACTTTTTAAACATGTCACTTATATATGAATATTAATATTCATATTTGTAAAAAGATGAATATTTGACAAATATACATTAATTCTTGTGTAAAACAGTTTCACGTATATTATTTGACAAATAAACAAACGGGTATGCACCAAACCCCTTGTAATATACTAAATCTGCGCGTTATTCCCCTCCATTTTAAAAAATGCGTCAAACCCCCTTCTATTGTAGTTTGGCTAGCACACCACCCCCGTCATCTTAGACGGTTTAGGGTGTTTCGCGCAAGCCAAACTACAATAGAAGGGGATTTGACGCATTTTTTAAAATAGAGAGGGATAACGCGCAGATTTAATATATTACAGGGTTTGGTGCATTTTACCCGTAAACAAACTTATACTTGTACCAAACTATTCTGTCAGCTAGAAGAAAATAAAAAAGTTCAAGATAACAAAATGTAATTGAGTACATAGATATATGCCATTGGTGGGATATAGTAGTTGGTGGAGGTGCAAAAGTCGTATAAATGAGGGTTGGTGAGCACTAAACATAACCCAATTTAATGAATATTGATCCATTGTTGTCATACTAAAATTGGTTGGGTCGGACTACTTTTTTCAGCGTGTTTGTTTAAAACTCAACTCATACTCAAATTAATTACTTGTGAAGTATGTGTTCGTGTATATCCTATAGATCTACTTGTTGGTGATTGGAAATTAGAAACTGATATTCGAAAGAAACGATTACTTAAATTTCAGTATTGATTTTGAAATCTGTATATTTTTTGGTAATTGCTTGAGTATTGTCCAACAAATTGTTTATCGATGACTGAAATAAAGCCTAATCAAAACAGGCAAAGAGAAAGATCGTGTAACTTGCTCACGACTTCCCTCAAGCCCTTTTTTTGATATTCAAAGGGAATATGACTCAGAATACTCACTAAGCCAGGATCACTAAAACTAATCAAAATAATCACTAACTAATAATCCGCCAAATGCAGAATTTTAGTAAATGTGTGTGTTTTAAGTGTGTGTTTGTGGTGTAACTATAAATAAACTTGTTGCTTTGTAATTTTGGACATCACTCTACGGTTGGGAAATCCTCTGCAATTTCTCTCTTTTATTTTTTTGATGTATATTTTATTGATGTATATTTTGTCAAAAATAATGTATAGAAACATTTTTTTTTTTTTTTTTTAAATCTATTTCCCTTATCTGGGTTGCTGTGCTGAGCTGAGCTGATGCTCTCATGGCGACAGTTATAATGTCTGGCCACCCGCATTCAGCTTCTCCATTCAAACCCGCATTCTCCTTCTCGTGCCCCTTCCACAATACGCCTTCTTCTAATAGGTATTTTCCCCCAACATAACCTTAAACCTGCTAGATCAGCTCTTATCAGCTCAATTTGATGATTTTTTTTTTTATTTTTATTTTTATTTTTATTTTTGCAGGTTTAAGATGTCGGCGGCCGCGCAGCCTCCTCTGTCGGATAATCGCGTCGTTGTAATTTTTTATTTTATTTTTTTATAAATGATTACTTTTATTTTTTCCTTCACTAATACTGTAATACAGTTCCTCTTCCTGAGGGATGTTGATTATTTTTTATATATATTTTGTTTTTTTATCTTGAATTATGAAGTGGATTTGTGCTTGATTTGTTGTTTGTGTAGCTGGGTTGTGGAACAATAACTGTAGATTTTCTGGCAGCAGTAGCTTCTTACCCTAACCCTGATGACAAGATCAGGACCACCAGTGCCAAGGTAATTCAATTTATTATAGTAACCTAGTTTTTGGTATTATTGATTCATTTTCGTCGTTCTAGTGTTTTGGATTAGAAATTGCCATAGGTTTCATCTCTCTATGTAACTTCTGGTTTAGTTGTAGTAGGTGAGGAGAGTCGGCTGCCGATTAACACGAATGCGATTTTCGGAAATAGTAATCTTTTCTTTGTATTCTAAACTGTGATCATAAATTGCGAAAAGGGTTCTTACAAGCTAAGATAAGAATTTCTTGTGTCGTTTCACTCATCTTGTTGTTCATTTGTTTAGTTATGCAAACCCGTTATAATTGTTGACGGTTGTTGATGTACGCGTTCTGTGTTAAGCTTCAAGGAGGTGGAAATGTAGGGAATGCATTGACCTGTGCCGCTCGTTTGGGTCTTACACCTAGGCTTATATCCAAGGTCTATTAGTTTTTTTTCCATTCGCTTATCCAGATAGGAATTGGGAACGTAAAAAGAAAAAACAATTACTGGGTAATTTGAGGTCTTCCTTTTTATCTAGGTTGCTGATGATCCTCAAGGCAAAGGAGTATTGGATGAGCTGGAGGCTGATGGCATTGATTCATCATTCGTCGTGGTAAATTTGCAATTTGTACTCTGTGAGCATATTTTCTCACATGAGGCTATTTATTTTCATATTAAAGTATTTATTTATGCATCCTTTTTCCCTAGGTTTCTAAAGGAGGCAATTCACCATTCACCTATGTCATTGTTGATGATCAAACGTGAGTATTTCTACATTTTGACATTCTTTTTTTTCTAAATTTTGTTGACCCCTTTCGGACATTGACTTATCTGGCTGCTTTTAATTTATATTTATAAACCTGAAATGCTACACTTGGTCTGATGGGAAGTCTCAGTCGCCTCTTGGGGACTTCCATCAGCATTCTGTGACGGTGGCCAATAGTGGCCCCAAATATAAATGATATAAAGACTTATTAGTTTTCACTTCCCTTTTCATCAAATATGAAAAGGCCCAAATATTTTTTTTTTAGTTCATTTAGTCTTGTTGCGCCTCCTCTATACGTAAATATATAATTGATGATAATGTCCCTCAAGTAATTGAGTCGAATTGTTTAATATGGTTATTCATTCGTCTTATAAAACTGTGTGTTTGTTGATATGTATATAAAACTGTTTAAATTATTAGTGTGCATAGAACTTAATGGTATTTCTGTTGTGTTGGAAAGTGCAATGCCGATCCTCATTTTATCTTCTAGCATGTTCATGCAACTTTGTTTTTCCTTTGTTATTTTGCTTTAGCTAAAAGCGCAAGTGCGCCTTTGTTCTTTTCTGTTTTTCTTAGGCTCTCTCTGCGACGTCGTTTGGGTTAAGTAGCACGACATCGTTTTCCTTTTGTCTGCATGTGTACGTGTATATAAGTTCTGTACACCTTTGAGTTTTCATAATATACGAAAATGGTGAGATTTTCTCCCCCAAATTTCTGAGTGTTTCAACATGGTACCAGAGCAGTGATTCTGGAAAATTTGAGATCGCAGCTAAAATCGAAGAGCTCACCACATTTCATACACAAATTCAGCTCAAAATGAAGGACTGCAGTGGAGATCCATGGCCGATTCTAACAGTAAACGCAGAGTCGTCGAACACGAAGACGACGGAACCAGATCCATATCAGCTTCATGGCTCCGATTCACCTGGTATGATGCTTGTCTCGCATCAGTTAGATGGAAGCAATTTTTTATCTTGGAAACGATCGATGATTATAGCCATAGGAGCTAAAACAAAGCTTGGATTCATTAATGGTGAAATCGAACAACCAAATCCGAAGGATGAGAAGTATGCGGCATGGAGAAAGGTTGACTGGACTGTGCTCTCATGGATTCTGAGCTCGCTAACAAAGGACATTGCAGGATCGTTCCTCTATGCAGAAGATTCGAAGGAGTTATGGGAGGACATTTGTCAAAGGTACTGTGAAAATAATGGTCCTATGAGATATAAAGTACAGAGGGAAATATCTAGCTTAAGTCAAGGAAATAGCTTGGTAATGGAGTATTTCAATAAACTGAAAAGGCTTTGGGATGAGTTTGCTTGCATAGTACCTTTGAAAATATGTGACTGTGAGAAAGGTAGGCTGTGAGAAAGGTAGGCTGATGTTGCAACATGAAGCTGAGAATAAGTTGATTCAGTTTTTAATGGGGCTAAATGATGGATATGATAACTTGAAGAATCAGATTTTGCTCATGGAGCCACTACCAAATGTGAGCAAGGCCTTTTCTATGGCTTTGACAGCAGAGAGGCAAAGAAGTGTTCAGAACATGTATGGAGAGAAGGTTGATAGTGTGGCAATGATGGCCAAGACAAGAGGATATGGGAGAGGTGGAGGACCACAAGGAAGAGGAAATTTTGGGGAAAGAGGAGGTAATGGAGGTCAGTGGAATGGAGGAAGAGGAAGAGGAGGTTTGAAGATGACTAAGGAAGAGAAGGCAAAATTGATCTGTGATAAGTGTGGGATGCATGGACACACTGTTCCAACATGTTTTAAAATTCATGGAGTTCCTGAATGGTTTAAGGAATTGAGGGAACAACAAGGAAGATCATATGCTAACAACATCATGACATATGATAATGCAAATGTCCAAACTCAAAAGTCAGGATACAAAGAGGAGGAAAAAGGGAGAGACCTAGAGTCAGTGATCAAACAGTTGAATGAGTTGACCCAATACATTAAAGGAAAGGAGGACAATGCTAACAAATTGGATTATGCACAATTTGTGAGCTTCTCAGGGATGGATGAGAGTGAAAATATGCATTATGCACTATCCATGGTTGAAGGAATAAATGAAAGGAGATGGATAATTGATACAGGAGCAAGTAAGCACATATGCATCAATGATAAGATCATGAGAAACTTGGAAAGGATAGAGGGGCCAGTGTCAATATGCCTACCAGATGGATCATTAAACAGTGTGGAAGTAAAAGGAGAGGTTGTGATCAATGACAGGATAACCTTAAAGGATGTGCTATATATTCCAGCCTTAAATATAATCTGCTTTCAGTTATGCAGTTGTGTGAAGATAGGGATCTGAGATGGATTTTTGATGGAATGCAGTGTATCCTTCAAGATCATAGGGATGAAAAGGTAATTGCTCTTGGTAAACTTGCTGGAAATTTATATGTGCTGGAAGACAACATGATAAAAGAGGTGCAGTGCAACATGACAATGGAAGATCTGCACAAGTGTCTAGGACATGCATCTTTTGGTGCACTAAAACACATTGAAGCCTTAAAGGATAAAGAGAGCAAAGGTGCTGAAAGAAGGGTGCAAACCTGTGAAATCTGCATGAAAGCAAAGCAACATAGAAAACCATTTCAGGACAGCAACATAAAGACAACATAGTTCTTTGAATTAATTCATGTGGATATATGGGGACCATGTAGGGAAGAGACCATCACAAATACACCCTACTTCCTCAGTCTTGTGGATGATTATAGCAGAGGAACATGGGTGTTTCTCATGAGGAACAAGTCACAAACAGAAAAGATATTCCAAGGATTTGTGACAATGGTGAAGAGGCAATATGGTCTTAAGGTAAGGAGAATAAGATCAAATAATGGATAATGGGAAGGAGTTCACTGAAAAAGGTTTGCAGGAGTTCTTTGAAAGGAAGGGAATAACACATGAGACAACCTGTGTGTACACTCCACAGCAGAATGGAGTGATTGAAAGGAAACATAAACATCTTCTGGAGGTAGCAAGAGCATTCATGTTTCAAGGTAATCTGCCTATCAAATTCTGGCCATTTGCAGTTTTAACTGCAGTATATGTGATTAACAGAACACCAAGCTCGGTTATAAAATGGGAAACACCTTTTGAAATGCTCACAAAGAAGGTTCCTGATTTTGTGATGATGAAACCTTTTGGGTGTTTAGCATTTGCTACAGATAATACACCACATAAATCCAAATTTGATCCAAGGGGTAAAAAATGTGTGTTTCTTGATTATGTGGCTGGGAAGAAGGACTATCAACTCTATGATTTGGATAACAACATCTTGATGATTAGCAGAGATGTAGTCTTTGTTGAGGAACAATTTCCTTTTCCAGAAGGACATGGAAGTGGGGCTATATTGCCAGTGGCAGTAAGGATCTTGATGATGATACTGCATATGAATCACATGAAAGAGCTCAGGAAATACAACATGATGGAGATGAGATGCCCAGATTAAGGAGGGGGTTAAGACAAAGGAGGGCACCACAATGGCAAGCTGACTATATTTGTGATCCTGCAGCCTTTATGGCAAAGGTGTCTCTTGAAAAGGAACCTAGCCACTATGGACAGTAAGCATCCTGCATGGGTGGAGGCAATGGAGAAAGAGCTTGTTGCTCTAGAGGATAACCACACTTGGGAGTTAACCACATTGCCAGAAGGGAAGAAGGAAGGGAAGAAGGCAATAGGTTCAAAGTGGGTTTATAAGATAAAAAGGAAGGCAGATAGATCAGTTGAAAGGTACAAAGCAAGGTTGTAGCTAAGGGCTATAATCAGGTGGAAGGAGTAGATTTCTTTGATGTGTTCTCACCTGTGGCCAAACTAGTCACTGTAAGGATGTTCATTGCAATGGCAGTGGAATGTGAATGGGGTTTGCACCAATTAGATGTGAACAATACCTTCTTGCATGGGCATCTTTCAGAAGAAGTATATATGAAGCCACCTCAAGGGTATACCAAGGCCAAGCATGGAGAGGTTTGCAAACTGGTGAGAAGCCTATATGGCTTAAACATGCTTCAAGGGAATGGAACTTAGAACTCTGTCAGAAATTGGCTTCATTCGGGTTGATTCAGTCCACATTTGATCATTGCCTGTTTACAATGCAAAAGGGATCAGATTTTTTAGCTATTTTTGGTGTATGTAGATGATATTCTACTTACAGGTTCAAATGAGGACTTGATAGCAGATTTGAAGGATTTTTTGGATAAGGCATTCACAATCAAGGATCTGGGATGGGCAAAGTACTTCTTGGGTGTTGAGTTGATAAGAGACACAAAGGGGATGTTCTTGGGCCAAAGGAAATATATACTGGATCTTTTAGGAGATATGGGAATGCTGGGGTATAGAGGAGCAGTGACACCATTGCCTCATGGACTTACCTTGAAAGAAACAGAATTGAAAGAAACAGAAGGAGTTGCACTGTTGGAACCAGATCAGTACAGAAGACTAATAGGAAGGTTATTGTACCTTAACATGACAAGACCAGACATCACATATGCAGTGCAGCAGCTTAGCCAATTTGTGGCTTCACCACATAGTGTGCATTGGGATGCAACACTCCATGTGCTCAGATATTTGCATGATCTTGTAGACCTGGGTTTACAGTTCACAAAGGGGGGATCTTCAAATCTCATAGCTTATTGTGATGCTGATTGGGCAGCTTGCAAGGATACAAGGAGGTCTATTACAGGTTATTGTATCTTCCTTGGTGGTTGTTTGATTTCATGGAAAAGCAAGAAGCAAATCACTGTCTCCAAATCCTCAGCAGAAGCTGAGTTTAGAAGCTGAGTATAGAGCACTAAGCTCTACTGTTTCAGAACTCATGTGGATCTCTTATGTTGCTAAAGATCTTCATCTTGATCTGGCCTTTCCTGTGCCTTTATGGTGTGACAACCAAGCAGCCATTCATATCAGTGCCAACCCTGTGTTCCATGAAAGGACTAAGCACTTAGACATTGACTGTCATTTTGTGAGAGACAAGTACAAAGCTGGGTTTGTCACTCCCAAGCATATCTCTACTCATCAACAACTTGCAGATCTCTTCACCAAATTGCTTAGTGGATCGCATTTCAGGAGTCTCATTGACAAGTTGGGCATGGTCACTCGTTCTTCATGCTCAACTTGAGGAGGGGGTGTTGGAAAGTGCAATGCCGATCCTCATTTTATCTTCTAGCATGTTCATGCAGCTTTGTTTTTCCTTTGTTATTTTGCTTTAGCTAAAAGCGCAAGTGCGCCTTTGTTCTTTTCTGTTTTTCTTAGGCTCTCTCTGCGACGGCGTTTGGGTTAAGTAGCACGACGTCGCTTTCCTTTTGTCTGCATGTGTACGTGTATATAAGTTCTGTACACCTTTGAGTTTTCATAATATACGAAAATGGTGAGATTTTCTCCCCCAAATTTCTGAGTGTTTCAACATGTTGTAATATTTATAATTTATTTTCTCGAAATTGAAATGCATAAAAACACAATAATACTAATATCCTTTCGTGTTCTTTCAGGAAAACTAGAACATGTATTCACACTCCAGGATATCCTCCATTGATACCGGATGAGCTAACCGAGTCAAAATTGCTAGCAGCTTTGGATGGAGCAAGGCTAGTGTATTTTGATGGGAGGCTGCATGAGACAGCTTTAGTTATTGCCAAGGAGGTATTGTTGTTACTTGCTTTGTTCATGTTCTCTTTTAAGTTGTCTTATTGAAGTAAACAACAGTTTGTCTTGTCTTTCCAGAGCAGGCAACTCGCAAAGGTATTCCCATTCTAATTGATGCAGAAAGAAAGAGAGAAGGTCTGGATGATCTGTTGAGTTACTCAAAGTTTGTTGTATGCTCGGCAAAATTTCCACAGGCATGTTTAATAGCTTCTTCTTCTTTTTTGAGTGTTTTTTTTTTCTTTTTTTTTTTTTTAAATAATCATATGGAATTCTTGAGAGAAAGCAATTCATAATTTCATTTTTATGAGGTTTATGCTTTCTCCTTTTGAGTCAACAACACTCTTGACGAGATCAAGGTCAGGTTTAACGCCAGGTTGAATTTGATTCAGATGTATAATGTTAGATTAATTTGAACATTAGCAAATATTCAATTCTTGGGAAGGTCAATCATGACAAGTTGACTTAAGTGTAATTCATTTCGAATTACTTTGCTACCATTGGTTGACATATGATGCGCATACCTGAATTTTAATGAAAAAAAACACTAATTTGTAGAAAAATGTTATCGACTATTGTTGGACTAGGATATGCTAAATATGTATAAAAAGGTCAATGTCCATGGCTTTACTTTAAAACTATGTAATTTTCTGCTTTTCTTTTCTATCTTTTAATTTATCATTTATCTGTTATGTGTCTTACAGACATGGACAGGCGCACCATCGGTGCCGAGCGCACTAGTTTCCATGCTTCTAAAGTTGCCCAATGTTGAATTTGTGATTGTCACTTTAGGTGAAGATGGTTGTGTGATGTTGCAGAGGTCAAGTGGTATGTAAATTTAAATTGCGTTTATTTTTGTCAATTTTTGGTTTTCTGTTGAATAATAGATGCCAAAGAGAAGTGGATGTCCATATACGTATATATTTATAATATTATTTCACATTTTATTGTTGCAGAAAATATTACTTCCGAGGAAGTAGATGTGGATGGTTTATTGGAGTCGCTTAAGCATAAGAAGGATGGCAATACAACCTCGCCTATGTGCATACCATCGGTATTTTCCTCTAGTAAATCTTACTTAAAGAAGGTATTTTCACGTTTCGAGTTTAGTGAGCATTAATCTGTGTTTTGTTTTGGGTAAAGCCTAAAAAAGAAGCGACTTGAAAGTCAGGTTTATGATGAAGTTGATAAATAAAAATTTCTGCAAATGGGCATGCATCAATAAGCTTATGATATGCAATTTATGTATCTCTTATATATTGAACTACTTAGCATTCTGTGCTTCGTAGCAACTTGCGATTTTGAATTACATCATATTGTATTATCTTGTATGCATGTTTTCTTATAATTCTAATGAAAATATGTCCTAGAGAACGTTAAACATATTTATGACACATTAGGCTTGAATTGACCTAAATAGCATGACATAGTTCATCTATCAATTTCCCTATTGCTACCATCAGGTTGTGTTATCATAGAAGAATTTGAAGATCTATAAAAAAATGAAATAAAATAAAATCAAAGGCTTCTCTGAATTTTGTTTTGTAATTTTTCCCACGTGCTATTTTATCCTGCAGGGAGATTTGAAATTGCACGCAAAAGGAATAGGTACCTTGAGTGGCAGGTTACTTTTAGGCACAGCCGAAAGGATTTCACAATCTGAACTTGTTGATACTACAGGTGCTGGAGACGCATTTATTGGGGCCGTCCTTTATGGTTAGTAAGCAAAAACGATATAATAATTTTCTACACTATTTATGATAAAATGTAATAGGCTTATAACAGTTAATAACTGTTGTGATAAATGATAATTGCTGACCAATTTGTTGGATTTCTATTTAACCAACCATTTGTTTGTTTCCTTTCTTGTGGCGGCTTATTTGCTCTCTGTTCATGCTTTATCTGCATTGTCGTTGGTTTTCATTTTTGTAGCTCTTTGCACCAACATGCCACCAGAAAAGATGTTGACTTTAGCTTCTCAAGTGGTAAGTCTTTACTTCTTATGAGGGTAATTACAAATACTACCCTGAGGTTTAGCTTAATTATCGAAAGGAAAAAAAAAAAAATTAAATCATCTGAGCTTCGGTAGTCCCTGAACTTGTTGAAAACTCTTTATTGTAGTTTATAACATGAGAAAGTCCCTCTGAGAGTGCAATTTATAAAGTACCGATTATTTGTAATGTTGGATAGATAAACTGAGATTATTAGGTTGTGTTTGGTAAGCATAGAGCTCGCTTATAGCTTATTTGATTAGCTTATAAGCTTCCTGTATTCAAATAAGTTTTGTTTGGTAGGACGAGAGCTCGAACTTATCTCATAAGCTTCACTGGGTAGCTTTTCAAATAAAGCCCATTGAAATCTTTATTTTAGCTGGCTTATCATCTAATTTTACCAAACACTTTTATCATATAAACTAGTTTTTTGGTCATAAGTCATAAGCTAAAGTTCGCAATTCACTTATCAGCTAGATCTACCAAACATAGCTTAAATAAGTGGTGACTTGGTAAAGATTGGGAGCAGTTGTTACTTTTATTTAACTTTTACAATAAAAAAAGCTCCTAATAGTGGGTGAAACTCTCGTCAAAATTTTCAGGCTGGCATAGGCTGCAGAGCATTGGGAGCCCGAACAGGTCTTCCACGACACACGGATTCTCGATTGAGTCCTTTTTTAGTGTAGGGATCCCAAGTGATGGGTATGTGGTGATGGACATGAATATGGCTACTGGTCATCGACTTGGGATTTTCCTTGTGGTGTTTTTGACTGGGTTTTTCTGGACAGATATCCTGATATATCTGTTGCAGTATTTGCCTTAGCCTACTTGAATTAATGAATTTACTATGAATCAGCATATGTTTCTTTGCCTTTTGGACTGGCAACGAATTGGAACTTGAAAGCGTGGTTATAGTAAAGTGTAGTAAAAATATGGTATTACCAGACAAGTATGTAAAATATGTTCACCATTTAATAAAATTATGTAACTTTTATTTACACGATTTATTTTGACATGCCCCATTTTGGATGGTGTCCATTTCTATAACTCCTTTTTATGTCCTGAAATACAAAATATTTTTGTTTTTATTTTGATACTATATATATTTGGTATTATATAAATACATATTTAAAAACTAATTAATAATGACTACAAATATCTCTATTTTCTATTGCAACCATACCATAATAAAAAATATCTTTTTGGATATTACAAATATACAATAAATATTTAAAAAAAATTAAACCCATAAAATAAAATCTTCCTGCAAAATGGTCCTGCAATATATTTGAAAATTTTAATATTACATGCATAAATATACTTATAATATCCTTTGTTTAAAAGTTAATATCATTATCTAACTTATGATTTTAATGTTATATGCATATAAATAACTTATAATATTTTATTTATATCTGTGCAAAATGTACGTGGTCTAATACTAGTTAATAACCTATCAAGGTTTGTACCCCTCCCTCTACCACCTCCTAACAATCAAACCAACTCGAATAAAATTATTTCAAATCCCGTCCCTCAGAGAAATGTTATATGTACATAATGTTGTACATAAACGTGTACAAAACACTCACATTAAGTGGGGTCCTACTAAAAATAAAATATCAAGTGGATTTCACTTCATGTGAGTGTCATGTACACGTCTATGTACATTTATTACGTACGTGTAGCATTTTTTAAAAAGTAACAAGAGATGGAGGGTCAGAAACGACAATTCACATTTCCCAATTGATATTGTGCCCCAAAATTAGCCAAAGGCAATGCTTGCCCACTCCACCTCCCAAAAAGGGTTTTAGGTCCTCAATAAAAAGCTATGCAAACTCTTCTGCTGCCGGCAGCTTGCTCCAGCGTCGCGCGGCCAGCTCCGCCGTGCAACCAGACGTTTTTAGGAGCCTTACCGAGAAATCCCCTCCGCAAATTTCTTCGCTTTGGCGTTGCCGGCGATCCTCATTCATCTCCTTCCTCACTGAAATTCGTCGATGTTTTCTCCCGTCCGTACTACATTTTAAGTAACCGCAGCGTTAAAACCCTAGCCTCGGACCCCATTGCCTTTGGTTATAGCTCTCCAAATGATGAGCCCGACAAAGCCAAGCTCGCTCAGGTGTGCGTCTGTCTCTCATTTTCGCTGTTTTTTGCCGTGCGTTGGAAAAATATCATGTTTATGGTTGAGTGAGATTGCGAAGCTTTTTGATCTTTTTTTCTGATTGATATTTATGTGAAGTTAGACTTTTATTGGGATTTGGTAGTTAGATTAATTTACTTTTCGTCTTTTTGAGTTTGATAATTTTATGGAACATTTTGAAAAAAAAAAAAAAAAATGCTGTGGAATAAGGTGAAATTCTGAACAATGTAGGTAGGTGATCAGTTCAAGATTTTTGCAATGTAAGTTCTGATGCTATTACTGTAATGGAATTATCAAAAGTTGAGCAGGGTCAAAAGATTTTTCCCTTCTAAACCCGAATGTCTCGATTAATTTGGGCAAAATTCAACCGCAACCCGGGAATTTTCCTTACGGATATCTGTTTTGAATTGTGGATTTTTAGGTTTCAAAGAGATTAGAGAAAACGTCGAGGTATTTCAAGAGGTTGGGAAGTTTTGGATTTTGGGGGCAGCTAATCTGCACGATTGTAGCCGCTGTGATCCTCTCGTTTTCTAATCTTATAAGCGGGAAGATCACATCGCCTGCTACCTTTTATGCTACGGCTGGTGGCATTGCAGCTGCATTCATTTCTGTCTTTTGGTCTTTCGGCTATATCCGGTTGTCAGATAAACTCCGTAAAACAGCAAATGATCCTTCAAAGGTAAAAAAAGTTGTGAAGTTTGAGCCAAAATAAGGTTGGATTCCTGTTATCTAGATTTTCCTGCCTATAGCTACATCTTCCTATGAAAATGGTTTACCACGGTCTTGATTTGGTAGTTAATGCAGAGCAACATGCTAGTAAAGCTATTTTTTTTTTAAGAGAACGAATAAGAAAAAACCAAATCAAGTTGTCTTATTTATTGTACCTGTGTTAAAAATTCGTTCGAAGTTGACGTTCTCTTGAATCTTTTTGGCTTAAACATGTTTCATGCCCTGGGATTTGGTTGAACACATTCATATGACCAACTGTAAGGGAGTAAATTTATATATTTTCAGGGATTCTGATGTTTCTGCATATTGACAATTGGTTAAAACTAAATCAGTATTAAGGACGCTGAATCTGTGCCAAGTGGTTTACATTTCAGATCGTTCTGCAGCTTGTTCATCTGTTTATTATTATTTTCAAAAAAAAAAAAAAAAAAAACTTCGACTTTAGAGTAAAGAAAATATTGAAATATTGGTTTACTCCCATCCCTCACGAGTCCTGACCTTTTCTAGGCTTGAGTTTTGCTTTCACGTTCTCACAATGTTCCGATTGTTTCTTATTCAAAACGATAAAGAGTTGTAAGCTTTTCAGGCACCTCCTCGTGCGGATGTCGTGAAGAGCCTGAAGAATGGCATAGTTGTAAATCTATTGGGAATGGGTGCTGCTATACTCGGTATGCAAGCAACTGTGGGCTTGTTGGTGGCAAAAGCTCTCACAACTTCAGCCACTCCTTATTATCAGGGTATCCCTCCTGGGAACACTCCTGTTCTTGCCTTGGATGTGTTCTTGGTCCAGGTATTCTTCCCCCCGAACAAATCCCATCTCATTATATGATGAACACACATTTTGGTCTTTCACACCACTAGATTTATTATTATCATTATCATTGTACTGTGTTGATGAATTTTTAGAGTAAATATTTATAATTATGTCGTTCGTGTGTTGTTTGTTTGTAGGCATCTGCTAACACTATACTTTCGCATTTTCTGGGGCTCTTCTGCTCATTGGAGCTATTGCGTTCTGTCACGTTACCACCTACTGAACCTGTTCCCCTTCCTAAGCTTGCATGAGCTTGAAGCACTTTGAAATGGAGCTGTTGTTCACAAGCCATCTCAGTGTTCTTTTTTTT